CTCCCTAACCCCCCTTCCTAATGTCAAATAAAGACACCTGTTTTGGCAAAAAAACCCTCTCTTTATTTTACATAACTGGGGTGGGGGAGGGTGGAGTGAGGGTGGGAGAGGGGAGGGGGAAACCTGGGAGGAGGGAGCTGGAAGTTGAGGAAGGGAAGGGAAAGCTCAGGCTTGGGGGTCCGGCTGGCTCTCCCGTCTCGCAACACTGCAGGTGCGGGGACCTCGGTGGGGGAGCGGGCGTGGAGGGTGGGGCAAGAGGGACGGCGGGTGCGGGGGGTGCAGAGGAAGTGGGAGGGGGAGGAGGGGTGGGAGGGGGAGCGAGAGCTGGGACGGCCACAGGGGTCGGTGCAGGAGGAGGCAGGAACCTGTTCACCAGGGTCTGGAGGTGGCCTCTGAGGGCATGGCCCTGCTCCTCCAAACTCCGCTGCCGCAGCCGCAGGTCCTCCCAGACCCAGAGGCCCTGGGGCTGGAGCAGGTGCCGCCGGTGGTAGTCCTCCAGGTTGCGGGAGCGCACGGTCCCTGGGCTCCCTCTGCCCCTACCCCCCCGTACACATAAGGGGAGCATGATGGCACTCCCATGTGGAGCCCTCCTCAGCCTCGGACAACACAGCTGATGTGCTCTGTGGGATGCCTTGGGGGTCATAGGTCCTGGGCAGGCTCCCTGGCTCTCGGCGTCCTCCTCCTCTTCCTCGGTGTCAGGGACGGGTCCCTCTGCCCCGGGGTTGATCACCACCCGGGGGACATGGATGGTGTGAGCCCTGAGGATGTGGTCCAGGGCCTCAAAGAGAGGGCAGGCCTCTGGGTCGGCCCCTGGCTGGCGGGCCCTGTAGGACTGCTGCAGGTCCTTGACCTTGCAGCGGACCTGCTCCCGGGTCCACATGTGGCCCAGCCAGGCGGCTGTAGACGGCCACGTTCCTGTGGCTAGTGCAGAGATCATGGACGTTGGAGGCTTCCCCCCAAACCTCGATGAGGGCCATGATCTCCACACTAGACCAGGAGGGCGCCCGCCTCTTGCAGCCCCAGGCAGGCTCCTGTGAGCCGCCAGCCTGGTCCTGGGAAGAGGCGGAGGGCTGGGTGGCAGCAGGTGGCTGGCTCATCCCGTGCCAGCTGCTGGGTCTGCTGGCTGGGTGCTGGCAGGCTTGCAACTGGCACAAGCAGTGTAGCCAGACCCTTTAAGGGCTCCAGGGCCGGGAGGGGGCAGAAGAATTTTCCTGGTTGTGCCCAGAGTGGCCACCAGGGCAAGCTGAGAAGGGCTAGCCTCCAACTAGTTCGAATTACAGCCCTTAATTCGAACTAGGCTTCGAATGAGGTTTACCTAGTTCGAATTAAGCGCTCCACTAGTTCGAATTAAGTTCGAACTAGCGGTTTCTATGTATAGACGCTATGAAAGGTAATTCGAACTAACGGCTGTTAGTTCAAATTAACTTTTTAGTGTAGACATACCCTATCACAGGAAGAGAAGAATCTACTCTCCTTCCAGATTGTTTGCATACAGATTCCAGAAAAGAGAGCTGAGATTGCCTTTTGTTTGCTCAGAAAGTCTGTTTTTATGCTTGATTGATCACTAAGGAAACTCCATGGATCTACTGAAAAGACCAGACTGCTGAGGATGAATCTTGCTGCTTTGCAAATGAATATATTGCATTGAATTGTTTTAGTGATGGATAAATGCTTATTTTCTTGCATGCATTTACAATAGCTGTACTATGTTCTTCAGACTTTTTACTAAATATTCTGATAAAGCACTGAATATTAAACTTTATTAATTGGCGGTTTTATCCTTTTTTATTAAATTTCAGAGTACTAATGACTTAAAAGATGTCAGTGACCCTGCCCAGGATCCACAGTATGCTGAGTATGAAGTTGATGCAATGAGAGCTCAAAAGAACCAGGTACATTATTGTGTTGCTGCTGACATTTATAAGGTAGTTAGAGTGTATACTCATAGAATCTGCATTTGACGTTTTGAAAACCAAATTGAAACCATTTCACCCTAGTTGGTTGATCTTTCTCCTTTCTCTGATTGTGAACACATGTAAACATTTTCTAAAAGTCCTATGTCTTGTTGGTTCAGACATGAACAGTTCATTCACTACCTTGTCAGGTATGCTTCTAACACTATTGTTATCAAAACAAAATTTTCTTTCAACATAAGCAGTTGAATCTGTTCCCCTAGATTTGGCCTTCAATTCTGTCATGTTTTGGAAAAATGGAAAGATTGATTGCACACATTTGGGTTCATTGATCCTCTTCTGCCAGGAAGGGTATAATAAGGCAGGAAAATAAACTGTGCAAAAATTGCATGCTGGTTGTAAGTCAGGACAGAGGTGTTCAGTCTCATTTATGTTGGTTTGCCTTGCAGTCGTTTTCAGGAAGGGATTGTTGTAGATCAGGATTCCCATCTGTTTTCACTTCTTGCTCTTTTATGCAAGATCAGAGGCCAGTAAAGTAATCTCCATCTTCAGTATGAGTAAAGATGAGTCTTGCTCATCCTTTTGATTGTTCATGTCCAACTAAGCTGACAGTACTTTGATTTTAAAAGAAGGGGGTCTGCTGACTGTGCACTTTCTATTAGAGACTCTTGATTGTGTAAATAGTTCCTCCTTTGTCCCACCCGAACCCAGTGAGGCATTAGTAACAGAACAAAGGAAAAAGAACTCAGGAAATGGTGAGGGTGTGCTAATTTTACATTTGTTTTTTTCTGTACTTTTTATTGTACATTGTTGTTTGTAAAGGGTACTGGATTGATGGTCTTGGTAACTGACGTTCATGATTAACAGCACAGGGAATTGGCAATATAAGTTTCTCCACTCTATCCTGACATTTTATTTAAGCCCTGAATTGTAGGAGCCACATATAGGTGTGAAAGGGTAGTTCAGTCTGTTTCCAATTTATTCCTAAACATTTCTGCTCTGCATTCCAACAAGTTTGGCATTTGGATTTGGTGCTCACTGAGAACTTGCCTCAGACTGTCAAGCATTTTTGAGGAATTTTGTTTTATTACTTCTTGGGTGATAAAACATAATTCCTGAAAAATGTATGTTGTGAAAGGGGACTGGAGAATGAGCCCACCCTGCATTCACCCCACAGCAGTAGTATCTGTCTCACAGGACTCCCCTCTATGAATATTGTGACCTGGCACCTGCCTGCCCTCAGTGGCGCTATGACCCCATGTAACAGGTCACAACTCTTAGAAACTTTTGCCCAATCCTGGAAAGCAGGAGCTGCAGGATGAGATTTTCATTTAATGTTTTATTTGTTGCATTCTTTTTCATTTTATATTGTTTTAGTTAATGTTTGCAAAAGACATGGGATTGCTTACAGGACACCAGACAGCCATCAGGTGGTAACAAATTTTGGTTATCATTAATATGGTCTAGCTTTTTATCCTATTGGGAATCTCCTGAGCCATCCAGTCCTACTCTGATTATTCAGAGTCTCAGATTATTCAGAGTCTTAGAAAGCTTAGGCCTTGCATAATATTTTCTTCTTGGGGATAGGTGCACATCACTTGTTGTAATGTTTTTATTTAGTAAAATTTCATATTTTGATTGTGAAACTTTGATTCATGCAGTTCTGTTAGATACTTTGTTTCGATAGGTGAAGACTCTTTCACTCAGCTTTGGTACTTTGTGCAAAACTAGACGAGGTTATTTGGTTTAAAGTGGGTTACTTTGGTTTAAGCAAAGTTATCAAACAGATCTAAAATGGTAGATGTGGAGGACCTTTGAAAAGCTATGACTATAAAAGTCTACACATCATAGCTTTTCCAGTCACCTCTCCTACATGAAATGTATGTTTACATAAATGCACTGCAACTATCTAAATTAGTCCTACATGTACTGTAACTAATTTAATTGTTTAGCGTGCCTGTAGAGATGAACCAAATGATTATATTAATACTGCTAGTGATATAGTGTTTGTTTATTGCCTAGGAATAATCTGTAAGTAAATATGCACACTGTAGACTGATTCAGAAATGCTAGGTTATGTGAGGCAATTAACCTACAGTTACCTGTCCAAGAATGTGAATATAAATCATACTGTATGATATGAAAAATAAATGAGTTTAAAGAATTCCTTATGGACTATGAACTTACATGATACCTGTATTTAATTGGTAACCCAATATTGTGACTGTATATGTCTGTTATTTTAACAGTTGTCATTGCATATTAAAGCAATTTTAATCTATATGCTAATATGGAATTTATGCGGTAATTTCAAACTAAGTATCTTTAGCTTAAAATTCTATTACACTTGTTATTATTTTTATCTAGTAAAACAAGATACTGGTAAGTGTTGATTAAATCATATTGAAAATTAATTTTCTGGGTTTAAGCTACAAAAAGACTGGTTTTTGAAAGACCTCCCTCTTTTTAAGGGAATTGGAAATCAGTTCAGCTTCTTTTAGTGGTACTGTTACAAGAAAAATCTAGGCATTAAATGAGACATTTCATTCAAAAGAAAATTACTTTTAGTTATCTTCTGTTATTTCCTTAAATTTTCTATACTTACGTTCAGTTATTATAAGATTATTGTGACTTTTGTAGTATGTTTATGAAAATAACCTCTTATCGTCTTTGAATTTCATTTGATGTTAAATGCAGTAAGATAGCCATGTACATCTAAAAGTAAACAGTGCTCTGGTTATATTCAATTTTTAAATGTCTCAGGATTTTGCGTAACTATGTGAAAAAGGAATGGTTTTAGCACCCAATCTTAACATCAAAATATTAAACATTGTAGACGTCTAATTTTCTTTCCTTTTAGGTTCTTTTATTCAATATATTATTATTAAGTACAGAAAGGAACATTTATACCAAAAATTATACTCTTTGTGCCCTGTATTCGATCTGGAATCATGGACCCTTTCTGGACAGCGGTATCCCACGCTGTCATCTGACAGAGATTCCCATTCACTCTCTCAGGGAAAGAAGCACTATGGCAAAAAGGCAACAAAGAAGCTGGCTCCGACTTCCCTTTCTCAGGAATTTGCTAACTTGGCTGACTTCATTGGTATTGACCAAACCAAGACCATTCACTTATGAGATAATGGGACTATCCAGTCCTGTTCTGAGCCAAAGACTCTAAGTGCATCATAGCAGAAAAAGGCACTAAATAGAGTTCTATGATACCTGCCTCAGTAACACTAGACCTGCTCGAACATGTGATACTGAGCCCCTTGTTAGCTCTACAGGCTGAGATACCAACTTCTACCTCTACGGTGCATGACATATGACCTACAACTTTAGCAAAGGCATTGATACTGCTGACAATGCTCGGTACTATTGCTCTCGGTACTGTAGCAGTTCCCCCCACTATAAAAGATGTTATACTTTCTTTGGCACGGGAATCGGTACTCTAGCACATTTCATACTGAACCAACTCACCACGTCACCTAGATCAGTTTCTCCTTTATCCAGTGATGAGGGCAATAATGACGAAGGGGAAATCTCCTCCCCATCACTCTCTGCTATTCACACAGCTACCAGACCAGGTCCTGCATAGCACCATGAATATCAATTAGGACCTAAAACTCAAGACTGGTAAAGACACCCATGGATGCTACCACTCATGCCATTTCCACTATAATAGCTTTACTGGAACCCATTACCAGAGGAATTTTTCTTCATTCTCTGTACCTGGAACCTCTGAACCTCCAGACTAGGCAGTTGAGTAATTAGAGGAAACTTTGGATCAGGAAGTCACACCAGCTACTAACTTTTCATTCTCTTCCCCAGATGAAACTATCATGACCTCATCACCCACCATGTGGGATGACTTTAAACAGTTTCAGGCACTGTTTAATAGGATTGCATTTTCCCTGGATATACTGCTGGAAGAAGTAGCAGAATCCTAACATAAATTCTTGGACATCTTCTGGACTTTAACCTCCTCCGCCTTCCCAGTAAACAAGGTTCTTATGGACCCAGCCAAGACCATCTGGAAAACCTTGCAACAATTTCACCCGTCTGAAAAATAGCAGATTAAAGTATTAAGTCTCTTCCAAGGGGAATGAATTCCTATTTTCACACCCCCACACTAAACTCTTTGGTGGTGGAGGCAATGGAATAATTGGGGTAGGCATCACCATTCCAGTTCTACCCCATTTGACACCGACTGGGAGAGGATCTTTTTGGGTGCAAAATCTATTAATCAGTGACTATACAGTTTAGGATTCTAAACTATGAAACACTAATGACCAATTACAACCATTCAGATTACTCAAAGCTGTCTGACTTTGTTGAACATATACCTGAGGACAATTTCCAGCTTGCACAGCTATAAAAGCTTCACTGGACTCTGCAGATATGGTAGTATATTCCATCTTCACTGCCATAGTGATGCAGTGAGCTTCTAATAGGCTGCAGGTTGCCCATTAGTGGTCTGGTCTGTCCAATTTTGTGTGGATTCATTGATTCATAATCGGCAATTCTCTGTTAGTGTGGGGAAGCATGCCCTGCACAACTAGCGCTTGAAAATAGTACACTGGTTCTCTGCCATCAATTTCCAGGATGCATATTTCTACAGAATGATACATCCCTCCCACAGGAGGTTTCTGGGGACAAATAATTTTCAGGACAAGGTATTCCCTTTCAAATTATCTAGTACTCCATCAGTACTCTCAAAATTTCTTTTGGTGATTGCTGCCTACCTCCAAAGAAAAGGAGTCATAATGTTCCCCTATTTGGATGATTGCTTACTCAAAGCATGACTTGAGAAGAGGCACTAGAAGCTATTCAAAAGACAGTAGCTCTCGTCACACATGTAGGTCTTCAAATAAATGAACAAAAATCAACACTCACATCTATGCAGAGACTTATCCTCCAGGAATTTATCTAGCTCTTTTTTGAGCCCTGTTAAAGTCCTGGCCTTCTCAACATCCACT